AAAAAAAAATGCAAGCCAGTTTATAGTGGTTTATGATAATTTTCAAAACATGAACCACTTAAACTTTTCTGTCTTGGCAGGGGAGCGTTCCTAAAACAGAAAACTAATGCTGTGTGGTTTAAATCACTTCAATAGGTGAGACGAGAAGACATGAGTGGGCAGACCTTTCTCTGAGAGCAGTGGCTTGTTTAATTTGTTTTAGATGCAATGTTTTAATAAATCGGGTATAGAACACTCAAGCTGACTAGGCGAGCAAAAATCTATACTTTTCTAGTTTTAAAATAACCCTCTTTCTTTCAGGATCAAAAAAAGTATGAGGCAGAAGAAGGTGTGAACAAAGCTGCTTGGGAGAAGACTATGACTAACAATCGGCAAAAGTATGTGCCTTTATTAAAAGGGCTGTAGGATCTTTGTAAGAGTTCTTTGTTCCACACAGCTCATTGCAAAATGCCACATATACTTTATAGAAGAGTTTAAAATTAACAAAAATGGAAAGTTTATTACACTAATTAAAATGGCTTGATTGTAGGTATACACATTCTGATAGCTTTCACTAATTTTAGAGCAGTATTATTTAAATTTCAGAGCATTACATTGTTTATTTAGTACAATTTTTAAAAAGGAAAAAAACCTAAGTAAATTAGTTCTTTTCAATTAAAAAATAACTATTGTATTTGTCACAATGGCTTTCTCTACATGTGAACCTTGTAATTAAGAGTATGGCACATGTCATTGTAATCAGACATGATTAACCCACTACTCTGCTATATTTGTCTTACCATTTTGTAAACTCTTATAAGCTTTGTAGATTCCTGCTGATTTGATATAACTTAATTTTAAGTCTCTTGTTATAAACTAATGGGATCTTTGCAGTAGTCATAAAATCATTTAGCTGTTTTTCCCATTTTGTGTCTGGAATATATCTTACATGCCCAAATATGTTTGGCCAAACTAAAAAGCTTTTTATCTCATGTGTAAAAACTTTAGCCAGGCAAAAGACTGCCTTGCAAATCCTGTTACACATCAGCAAGACAGCTTCTACATACAGTTGTGAAATCTTAAGTCAGCTTGAGGTCAGTCTTGTCAGGCAAGATTTGTTTAATGAATTTGTAGATGAGGAGTGGCTAACCTGCAGCACAGTTGCCACAGTGGTACAGGCAGCCCCTGTGTGTGACATGCAGCAGATTAGGGAGCAGACAAGTAAGACAGCACCAGGTAGGGCAGAAACAGAAAGCAAAGCAACACATTGGACAAGAAAAAAGCGACAGATTGGACAAGGAAAAAAAAAGCAGAGCAGATGAGAGAGAGATTGGAGTAGCACTCCAGAAAAATTGAGATAATTTGTGGCATACATATGAAGAAGGTTGGCCTCTGCTGTCCCAGATAAGAAACCATGCATGGATAAGTCATAAACTTCATTAAAACTGTATAAACTTTTATATGGATGAATGTTTAATATCAGCCCATCATGTATTTTGCTAAAATGCAGTAGCATACATTTTAAAAAATAATCTTAAGATTTTATATACTCATTGTGTCCAAAGACTTAATCAGCAAAAGGATGTTTTCATGCAAAAATCATGTGGCATGTAGGTAAGAAAAGTGTGTAGTTCAGGGAATTTACATATCAAAGAACTTGTAGTACTGCTAAAAGTCAGTAACTTCCAAAATACAACATGTAGATCTTTGCCCAGAAGTAAATACTTGAGAGAGATTTGTTTTTCTTTTGTGATTTTTTTTTTTTTTTTCCAGTTAATGCAAAAGGAGAGCTTTTGATCATGCTTCTGTATTCTTGGAGCTTGTCCTACATGTTCTGTAACTGGGGGTCAAGTTTCCTTCAACTATCAAATCATAAGATATTGGTGTATGAATCTATTCTATGCCTAAATTTAGTGAGTTGACTTGTGATCTTTTGAATTAACTGATCACCAGCTTGAGAATTAAATATTTCAGATTCTCTGCGTGAAAGTCTTGCAGCCAAATGATCCATATTTCAGTTATAGCGTGAACGTTCTTTCTCTTTGTGGAGAGCCACGAGTACATCTTAATGGAACTGTCTTGGTAGAAGGGGAGTACAACCTTGTCCCAAGCATTCATGAATTCATTCACTGATTGCCAAATGTAGCCCAGAGGAGTTGGTCAGATAAGATGCGTGAAAATAGGTATGAAAGTGCTGAAATATATGCTGCCTGCAAAAATGAAATTGTAACCTTTAAGCATGTGGAATGCAATTCTGGGCTGTTCCTCCTAGATGTAGTGCATAACTTGCCATCCAGGAGTAAACAAAGGCTTGAAGACACCTCTGTACCTCCTCTCGCTATGCTCAAGCCTACTCCTAAGTTATTTGTGGGGCAGGGGAAAGGGGAGGGAGGATAAGGGCTTAATAAACATTCCTAAACTCTCAATCCTCCCACCTGTTTGTTTTATTGCACTGCCCAAGTTGCCTACTGGCAGTAATACCCATAATCCTCACAAGACTGTGCTCTGTGTTCATCCTAACCATACTCTCCTGGAAGCCAGACCTATGGCAGACCTGAAACACTGAGTTAGTAGTATTTGTAGCCATGACTATGGAATATGCAGGAAGCCTGAAAGCTTGTTTTAACATCTCTGCCAAACAGAGTTGGTTCAATAAGGTACTATCCAACAAATCCTGCTTCTTTCACTGGAGTTCTAGTGCTCTGAAGTGGGATTTATTTTACCACTCTGACTCTTAATCAAGCTTAAAGGACCAGACCAGTTGGGAACACTCATTCCAGAGAAATATTTCAAAATTACAGTTTAGGATGATTTTGAGAACTTAAGCTATCACTCAAGTAGACTGCAATTCGCACTTCAGAGTTTTTTAATTTTTTAGCAATATCTTCAGTCATGTTATGTTCTGGTTTATGTATGTTCTTCAGAATTTTTCTTTACCTATAGCTGGTTTGATTTTTCCTTTTAATGGCCATATTCAATACTTTTTGTATAGGATAAGGAAAGCAATTTAATTGCTGAAGATATGGACAGATGTAACATTAAAGCATTTTAAACTCCTTTGATACTCTTCGGAAGACTAGACATATATCCCTTTGAAGCACTCCAAAATACTTCCTCTTGAAATGGGTTGCTTTCTTTGAAGCACTTCACTTCCTGTTACATCTGCATGGAAATAGAAGACCCAGGGTCCTCCAGAATCCCACTGTGCTCAGTTCTTTTCCCTGGGAGGGGAAGGCGGGGAGAGCTGGGTAGACTGTCTGACAGGCCGGCAACAGCCTTCCAGCTCTCCTACTGCTGGTCACTGCACCTAGCTGCTACCACTGCTGCATCAAGTTCCCGTACCCTAGGCACTGCTGCACCTGCTCTTCACCCCCACGTGCCAGAAACAGCAGTGTCAGCGGTGCCTAGAATACACTGGGGCTTCCAGCACTTGAGGAGCTTGGAGCCCTGCTGTAGGCAGGAGCCACTCTCTATTTCCTGTTTCCTTTCCCTCCCCCTTGCCCCCACACCTATGGAGGTGTTCTCAGTGCTATACCCAGGATTGCAATGCTTTCCACCCCCCCTCACCCCCCTACCCC